TCAATCCTCACACAGTGTCAGCATGTGACACTTCTAGTCATATGCAGTCTGTGAGCTGGCACAGGCAGGATGCAGGAACAGCCACAAAATCATGGATGAAATGCAAAGAGTTAATTTATTTCTCTTATCTCGTGACTCAAGGGATCTCCGCAGCAACACCTGGGCAGAAGCATGCAAGTGGCGATGCAGGCACTGCGAAGCTCCGTCCTAGATAGTAAGGGAAAGAAGGAAAAAGAAAAGATCTTGGGCCTGTTGCTTTTGCCTGTATATATCCAGGATTTTTGCAGGCATAGTTTTCCACTGTGCTTTGATCTTTCCCACAGCAGGGCAGGAATCTCAAGGATAGGGTGCCTCTCAGTTTCTCACAGGCCTATGTTATCTAAGAGTAGGCATTCTACCTGTCAAGCACACAGAGCTAAGCAACAATTAGTGGGATATATATGGTTTTTGGCACCCCAGCTGCAAGTCACTTGAGCATGTTTACAATCTTACTCGCCAATCTTCCATTGTATACCCACACACAGTTTACTCAATAATAAGAAATCTACATTAATATGCTTACATGAAGTGTTCTGCTACCAAGCTAGTCAGTGAAAAATTAGTCAATGCCATCAATGGTACCTAGAGAGAGTTTGGTTCACCCTATAATCATCACTTATATTTGGTATCACACACAGATACCTAAACTCATGCGTCTCTGTTTCATGAACCTTAGACTGTGAGCAGAATTCCCCTCTCCTTCCTCAGTGCTTTCAAAAGGAGAACTTTGGGGAACATTGTTTCAGAGAATTACACTGTCAGAGAGATGCAAAAGCCAACCCAGCCTCTGGAGTTTCACCTCTGTTTTGCCACTTCATTCCAGTCTACTTTCAAATGGAGTAGAGACCTTATTTTAATTTGTTCTCTAATGGCCAAAATATCCTCAGTGTTTGAATACAGCAGATAAACAGATGGAGCATGGGCCTGAATTGCATTCTTTGCCAGAACTGGGCAAACATTCGTGATGTAGGATGAGGTTATCCTGCTCAGGAGGTGAGTGTTTTCCCCACGCGAACAACCATCTGTTGAAGACAATAAATAGGTGAAGTACATAGGACCTCCATTGTCCTAGAAAGTCAGATCATACTCCCCTGTATATGGGATCTTCTTTTTCAGAAATGCATTTCAGACTAACCTGTTTTCAGTGACAGTCTGGCAAGACAGAAAAGTGAGAACATCTCATTCTATTGAAGAAGAAGTAGTTTCTACTTCATGAAAGAGGAATAAAAAATTTCCTGACACTGGCCAGCAATGCCTGAGAGCTCACAGACCTTCACCACCTTGCTGCCCCCCTGTTTTTGAGGGGAGCCAGATCAGAGGATTATCTCCCTTCTTAATGCAGGGACAGTGTTTTCATCACAGAAATTTTACCTCCTGGCCCATTGGAGAACAGGAGAACAGTAGGTCAGAGCTGAAGCGGGCACCCAGCAAAGCTTGAATGTGCAGGCTGTTTTCCTACCTGGAAAGGTAGCTTGCAGGCATACAGACCTCCTTCCACCACTGTATAGCAGTGAGGGATTCATCCTGGGCAGAGGTCAGGCCATAGCTTTTCTGTTGCTGCTTTCTCCTGGGTATCTCTTCAGCAAAGGGCAGTTCTGCAGTGCCTTGGACAGCGCATGCATTGAAGGCTACATGGAGGCTGTCATTCTGGGGCAGTGAGAGTCTCTGTACCGTGAAGGAACGTGTCTCAGAGACCTCTCAGAATACATTTGGCATATTCTAGGTCTTAATCAACTCCAGAATGGAAAAAGCAGAACAAGTGAAATGTCTCTCAATGCCTATGAATACCTAAATTCAAGTCCATTTATAGGAGGAGGGGAAAAGTAAAGAGCACCTTTTTTCTCTGGAGCCAAGATATGCGTGTTTTTAAAGTCATCCTACAAGAAAGAAAAGAAAAGGCTCTAGCTTACTGTGACCTAAATAAAGCAAAGGAATTAGGTACTTGTGATCAAAGGGTTGAATGATGCATATACACATCTCCCTAAATAATAGAGTGGGTGGGGGAAATGACATGTCATTATTCCTCTGAAATAAAGTGAATTACCTGTTCCGAAAAGAGGAGTTAATCTGTTTTTATAGAGTGAAGAATAATGCCACATTATTTTTTCTAAAATTAGCAGCTGACAAGCTGAGACTTCAGTGCTCATAGCATCTGGCTCTCTGGCACCACACTGTACTTACCACAATGATTCTTTCTTTTACCATTTTTATAAGATTTGGTGGGGAATAGCCATTACCAGAAAGGCCTACATCCACTGAGCTCCAGAACAGCAGTAGGTGTAAGGTACCTCAGAGTTTCTTCCTTGCTTGCTAGGGCAGCACCTATCAGGTGCAGAAAACCTGATATTGACATTTCAAAAAAGCTGTAGATCGTTGAATGGACTCAAAGTCCTCATTTGGTTGCTTAATCGTACAGGAAATATCTTTCCAACTGGCTATACCCTTCATTAGTTGTCTTCCAAACTAGAAGCAAGTGTGTGACAATCTCATACCAAAATTCTGCATTTTGACATTTCCAGTGTCCAAGGCAGACAGTGAAAGAGTGAATCCTGAAAGCTGAAGTCAGACTCATCTAGTAAGTAAGGGGTTTCTTCTTTTCTCAAACTCTAAGGCTTCAGATACTGAATAACAGACCACATAACGATAGTAACGGCCGAGCAATTTCTCTGGAAAAAGATAATGGCTATATTTTATCACATGAATTCACAGGAACAGTATAGAGACTTCTCCTTGAAACTGCTGTCTTGAGGAATTCCCCTCTGTTTGCTGTTAATGTTTAGAGTGACAGTATGAAGGGCTCAGCATTCATAAAAAGGTTTGGGAGACTGAAAACCTGAGAAGTCATTTCCATCAGACCTGGGAGACCAAAATCACAGAGCTTATTTGCCCCCTAAAGAGTTTCCAATTAAATACCATTTCAGTGGAATAACCAAACTTTCTTGACTCTCCATTACTGATGCAGGGCCATACTCATGTCCAAGTTATGTGCAGAGAATTCCCTAGCAGCAGATTGGAAATGAAATATAAGTTAAACTTTCTTTCCTCCCTGTATCTGAGGGAAGTGATCGGGTGATATTAAAACTTCACGTCTGCTGATGTTTTTTCCTTGACTATAATGACACAGAGCATATGAAAGTTAATTAATCCAGTCAACAAAACCACTTATCACCATTTGACCCTTCCTATCACAGGTTTGGCCTAAGCAGTTTAAAAGCCATGACTTTTTATATTGCACTTATCTTCTTTCATACAAGTGAGGAACAAGAGCTTTCTCTGTGTGGGAGAACCAAGACAAGGCACATTGCCCTCTGTGTTTGCTGTCCTGACTGCCAGGCCTCACAGCAGCACACTTGGGTTTTTTTTCCTTGAAGGATAGGAGATTGTCTTCTTGTCTACTGCAAAAAAAGATTTTGTACTAGATGAGGAGCTCCTTGGAAAACAAGCAAGAAGAGCTTATTGGAAGAAGTTGCTTCCTCAAGAGAAGTTGGCATGGCAGCTAACAAGTGCTAGAGCTGCAGGCCTGAGAGAGGTAAACACATCGAAGCCATGTCTTCAGCTCCCCATATCCATAGGCTCTTGCACTGGATAAAGGCCCTGTGTCGGGGAGGAAGGACATCCTCTCCATTTGATCTAATAATGACTCCATGATAGCCCCCCAGGGCTGAGCACCCAATGGTCTCAAACCGGGAAGGCAAGGCCTCAGGGACAAACACCATCTGCTTGAGGCTTCAGCAGCCCTCAGAGAGATAAGCTGGATTGAACTGAGCAGAGATGAGCTGGATTGAACTAGGGAGGCTTCTGAGGCAGCCTCTCCCTCTGAGAAGGCAGAGCTGTCAGGACATGCTGCTCAAGAAGCAGCATCCAAGCAACAGGAGTGTTTATGCTTCTAGGCACTGTATCAGACAACAGATTACTAGGGTAAACTTGTGGTCTGGGAAAGTAGAATCTGACAATCTAGCTCAGCAGCTTTCATTTCTAGTTTCTTAAAGGCAGACCTGGTAACCCAGTTGCAGAAAAAGAAGCTGGCTATGTTTATCACTGTATCTTCCCTGACAGTAACTCACACTTAGATTTACTTGCAGACCTTTTGCAACCTACTTGAATCTTCTTCTTCTTCTGTATGGAGTCTGATGAAGTCCTACACTATCTACTGCAGAAAAGCACCCAATTGTTGAACTTTTCTTGATCCTTCATTGTTAATAGCAAAAATTACAGTCAAGACTGTCTTCAGTTTTTCTTCTTCCACCTGCTTTGTAATACTGTGTAAATTACATCAGGCTAATGTACAGTTTTACACTCAGTTTAAATGTTTCAACTGACCTGTAATCAGTGCTCTGCAGTACAACACTGGCAAGTGTGTAGTCTAAGGAACCGATAGATCAGCACTCCCCTACTAACTACTCTACATATTTACTTATCAACAGGAAAGCCAAATGGCTAAGGAACAGCTCCATGAGTACAGATAATACAGCAGAGAGAAAGCAGGACTGTCCACATCAAAGTATGTAAGCCTCCTGTTTCAGCACATGGAGCTAAACTGTAATTTCTTCCAAGATTCACCTAGTGGAGGGGGACACAATTACACTGACCAAATATCAGGGCAACTTTCCATGACTGCCTCTTTACAAAGCATGGTATGAATAACTTCCTTGAGAAAGCAAGAAAAATGGAATAAATCACTATTTTAATTATACTCATAATGATTTATTTGAAAATACATTCTCACTGCTATCTAAGCACAACCCATTGTAAGGCAGAATTAGTTTTGTTCCACCCGAGTTTAAAGTCATTATTATAATTATTCTCACCAGAACAGCCATTAATCACACAAACAATACCTGGTTTAGGAAAATACGTGCTAAGTAGCTATGTTATGATTTACTGTTATTTTTCTCACATTCTTTAACTCTTACTCAAATACTTATTTTCTGTGAAAATGTTTTTTGAAAAAAATGTCTTACCTTCAGATTGATGTGTGGCAAGAGGTGTCTGTGTCTCCTTGGAGTATGATACCACCTCCCGAGGTAAGAAATCAACCTGGGTAATCTTTGACACCCCTAGTTTGTGCAGTCTGCGTCTAAGATGAAATACATGACATCAAAAGATTAGTCATGTTAAATGTAAATCAGTAGCAGGAACAAGAGTGTTTGCTTTTATGAACAGAATTTTAAAAATACTTCAGTGTTTGCTAAGATGAAACACAATACACTATGCATGAGAAGTACCTAATTGCAGTGAAGAGAATTAACCTGGGAACCATTTGCTATAATAAAGTAGTTACTGAAACTCCAGATCATGCTGCTGAGAGGGACTATAAATGGGAGAGAGAAATGACCTGCCTGTGCCCCTCACAACACGCAACAAAATTCTCTCTTGTGCCATCATTACTATAGTGTCCTTCCTGCTCAAAAGAGTTAATCCTCAGCCTGAGATACCCAAGAGTAGAAAGGGCACAGTGGCTGTAAACCAAGCTGGATTAGGACTGTCAGATATTGAACTGAGAACAATAATAGAGGTTTTAATTGGCAAGGTGGGTAATTTCCATAAAGAAGGAGATTCTCCATTCCACAGGATTCATTAGTAGTGGAATTGATGTAGGTTTATGCAAGGGTTGGAGGGGAGCTCCAAGACAGAGCTGGAATAGGGCAAGTATAGCTGCCTTTTTCTACTACTTCCCTTACTTTAAATAAACCATATGAAATTAATCAGAAAAGCCAATTAACTGTAAGTGGCTAAGAGAAAAAGAAGAGACACAGCTGAATGTGGTCATGAACACTTTTAGTCATACACAATTCACTCAGCAGTGGTGGTGGGGAATCAGTTTATTTCCTGAATATTATTTGACTATCTGTAGGGAGGGAAGAATAAGCAAACAGTTACTTGCATGTGTTTTACTGGAAAAAATGCCAGCTTTCAGCAGAGAAAATAATATGCACATAATAAACAAATCAACTAAATAGGCCTAGATCAACAAGTGCAAGCACACTTATACATTTATTGGAAATAAATTCATGAACATGATGTTTCGGAACTGCCATGTCATAAGAGAGAGCAATTTGGAAAAGCAGAAAATTCATACACATTATCCATATAATCTCCATTTTCCAGATTGCCAGAAGAACAGAGGTTAAAGGGGGTTTGATCTAATTCATTTACAATAGTTTCGATATTCAATTAAGATTGATGTCTGATAGGAAATGGGAGTCTCAAAAGGAAATTGTCATCATTGGATGACACCTACTGAACTCTTCAGCTAGTTAATGCTATATCAGCTACATATTTTTCTGATCTATCTAACTGTATGGGTTATTATTAAGGTGAATGCAATTAGATTCAGCAGATAATCAGTATGAATCAGCAATATCACGTAACAAACCACTAGAGCAGAAATAGTTGTTACAGCTGAGAGTCTTTCTTCTTTTCAAAGAGAAAAAATCAACAAGTCTCCCTCCTTACAACCATCTGTGACAGCCAATACGAACAAAAACTACAATTGTCTGAAAATCCTATAGAAAAACTTCTACACAATTACTGGGGGCAGAAAATGTTCTACAGCTTGTGATATACTTCAGCTAATGAAAGTTTTATCAGCGTTACATTTTTGTACCTCCTTTAATTGAGAGGTGGTGTAAATTCAAGCTTTAATAAATGTATCACCCCAGCAAAATTTCATGTGCTTTTCCCTTCTTCAGCACCAGAGGTACAATCTCTGTTGCCTACTTGGTCAGTTAGACTTTCCTATATAATCAGTCCCCTGCTGCCCCACGCTACTGGTTCCATTTACTGAGATTCTTAAGCCTCCTGCATTAAAAGAGCTTCTTGACAGTGGTCTTGGGTTAAGTATAATCTCTAATTATGTGTCTAAACTGGGCCTAATTAGAACCTCATCTAATTCTAACAACAGTTTTACATGACGTCACTCCATATTCCTCAACTGCCCAAGGATGGGGAACATCAATCCTAATGGAGAGCTGGATTTAATCACCAGTTGGGTTAACCTCTTTGTAGACTGCTAACCAAGAAGTAGGCTACATCCCAGAGCACAGTGCTGAGAGAATGCGTGGAATTTTTCACTTGAATCATTTCTAATTCCAGAATTGCTGGTGCTTTTACAAATGTCTAGTGTCACTCATGTCCTGATAGTTACTGCTGAAGACAGGGAGGTTTTTCTTTATCTGAAGGAATGTGGTCTCTTAATTCTTTTTTGTCCCTGTTAAGCAACCTGTAATGCTTCTTGTGTAATTAAAATTGGCTTGGTCCCAAGCACTTAGGGACAACTGGAGCATTCTTTCAGTATCTGGACTCTACCAAATACGGACTGTAATATTCTAGTCTCTAGTTCTTTTTAGGGCACTGCTAAAGTGTTTATCACTTTCTCATCCCCATTTTTCAACAGATAATTCTTATCATTTACATTTTGCTGAATATTCATCTTAGAGAGCACATAAGCTTTAAAATATTCCTTTCAAAACTGCCTATAGGATGTCAGTAGGACAGTAACCAAAGTCCATCCATTAAAATTGATTCCTCTGTCTGTAGGCGCGAGAAGAAAGATATACCTGCTAGAAGAGTTTTGCTACACACATCATTTAATTGCTGACTGGTCCTCTCTCTAACTCAGCCTTGGGTTTGAAGACAGTTTTCTTTCAAAAGAGGCAAGACTTCCATCACAGAGTATATCTGTGTTTGGTGCGCATTCCTGTCTTTGCACTGACCACTCATAAAACATTGAAGGCTTGTGGCTATATGCACAGTTATCTTTTCGCAAGTCCAATAAAGGAATTTGCCTTGCATAGCTGTTTGAGGAACCTTGCTCCTGGGAATGCTAATCTTTTAATACAAACTTCTAGAAAATGCCTGCAGAGATTTCCGAAAGGTTTCTGTATATTAAAACAGCTCAAAAAACTCTACCCTTCTGGTACAGTCCATGTAATGTTGTAGAACCTGGATCTACTTGAAGCCTTACTCAGGTGGAAATTATAAATAATCCTAGCAGTTCTGGACATAGAGAGTAGAGAGACCCTGTTTAGAAAGCTCTCTGGATACTTTCCACTCCTTCTGATCTTTCCTGGTGAATAGCCCTAACATCCCTAACTGCAGCTGGGAGCACTGTCAATCAGTAGTTAAAAGGAAATTGTTGTTTTTCTTATAGAATGGTGAATTAATTTCACATGAACTAGTAAAAGCATGACACTTGCCTGGAGACTCAGACAGGCAAGACTATAAATTTATATGTAGAGCAACGTAGAGATTTGATTTTGCCTATGGCTCAAGAACTCAAGGAACTGCTACCTATCCTTTATAGAGGAACAGTTTATCCTACATATCTCTGCAGGTAGGCATTTCTAAATTATTTAAATTAACTACTCTTTTCAGATGCTTGGGGCAGAGAATCATAGAATCATGGAATGGTTTAGGTTGGAAGAGATCTTAAAGATCATCTAGTTCCAACCCACCTGTCCAGCCTGGCCTTAATATTCCATCCTAAACTAGAAAATATTGGTTTTAGCTCTAGTACAAAATGCTTGATTGGTCTGAACTCAACTAAGATGACAATTACTCTTGTACTATGATAATACTTAAGTGCATAATTATAAGCACACATACAGCTCCTAAGGAAAGAAAAAAGGGGAAGTTGTTATTGCATGTGGAAACAGCCTAACTATGGCAGACAGGAAGGAGGGGAAAAAGTACTTGCAAATGATTCAGAGACAAAACTCTGAATCAACAGGTACAAACAAGGCTAATGTAACTGTACATGCACATTTAAGTGCCACAATAATAACATTTCATCTGTAATGAAATAGTTATTTGTATTGTGTTTCGGGCAACAGAAACAGCAGCTTATCTTTTCATGAGCTTCTTTAAATAGGTTTTTTTTTTCCACAAAGACGGCTTTGCTGAAGCTTCTTATTGATGAAACTAAAAAAAGGAAACTTAAATTATGGCCTTTTTGAGTCGACAAAGCAAATGAAAATCACATAAAACCAGCTCAGCTGGGAAGCATTTTCAACATAATTCTTGCAAAGAAATTATAAATTAATAACAAAAAGAGCTGACATATACCCAAGTTCAGAGTCAGACTGGAGCTGCAGCACTGAGGGGTCTGTGTCCCATTGCAAGGTCCTAGGGTGGTAATCAGCCGTGCAGCACAAAGAGGGGGGAGGGAAAAAGAACACACAGAATTAACTGAAAGGATGAACAAAACCCCATCTCATTAGTTACATGCTCTATGTAGTACATTCAACCTCCAAGTGCAAGGGACAGCCACAGCATGTCAAACAAGATTTTTATGTCAAACTGTGACAGGGCAGGAAACTTATTAAAATTACATATTATTGGTAAACAAAGGGAAAAATCTGGGTTTCCTTTTAGATGTTGGTTAATGAAACATTTTTTTTCTGAAAGATTTCTAACTCTGTAACTATAGTTGATGCATTCCCAATAACCTGTAAAATCTGCAGGCACAGTTTGTTGTTATAATGTTTTTATGATAAAGTGGACTAAGCACTTGCCATGAACTCCATGGAAGGTCTAGCCCTTCACACAATTCTGACACTGATGGTAAGCCATCCTGTAAAACAGTGGCCTGGGTACAAACATCACATATACCAACAAATGGCACATGACACCAGCTCTGACATATTCTGGGGGCATCTGGTTCAAATAAACAAATCCTTCTTCTTTTCATCAGAGACAATTTCTGGGGAAGAGGGGAATGATACACCTGGGGAAATCAGATCTATGACAGTCTCTTAATGGACTGCTGTCATATGGGACTGTCACCAAATGCACAAATGCTCCAGAGGTTTGGTCTGACATTGTTCCTGGCATTGCAGTGCAACTTGCCATCTCTAAAACACTTTGAAACACTCACAGAGTCTTTCTGGAGTCACAAAACTGACATATTGAGGCCAAGATTTTAAAGTGCCCACTCATTCCCTGGCTCTTTGATTTTACTTTACTTTTCCTCCTCCAAGAAGCCACATCTCACATTCAAGAAAACTGACGGAATACATGACAGAATCAGGAACACAAGTGTGGCTCCTGAGCACCTTTTCCTGTGGTATGAACACTAGATTATGCATTGCTCTCACCAGCAGAGGCTAAAGCAAAGGAAAGTGTCCCTTCACTGAAGCAAGCAAGTCTTGCAGACATGCTGGATAATGATAGTACTCAAAAACTCCACTCATTTATTCTGAATACAAATTTTGAGGATACAGAGAGAACATAATATTACCAGGTTCAGCCAAAACCAGCTGTAAAACCAGCCATGTTCAATTTACACAAGCCTTTCTGCAACAATAGAAACCTCTGCCTCTATGATTCACTCGCATAAACTAACAACTTACTGACTTCAGTTAGAAATAGATCTCCTAAAGCCATACAATTATGCTACCTCCTGTACTTGGTAAACTCACCCATTCTATTACCAATGTTAACTCACTCTCTGGAGAGACAGACAAGGGCATGTGCTGCACTTTGCCATGTCACAGTGAAAGAGAATCAGTCTCAACACCCTGTACGCACAAAAAAGAATGAAGAATTGTAATGTGAAGGTGCTTTCCCATGCAGTGTAAGGCACTTACTCCCCTTGACTTCTTATGATACATTGTGATGTGTATTGGCATGAAACACTGTACAGTGATACAGGAAGACTTCTCCAAAATAAAACTGTATTACAAAAGGGTCAGAGACAAAACAATACAGTAATAAAGACAGATTTTTTTCCTTATAACTTGGCTGTAGCTCAAGTATAGTGGAAAGTGGACATAAGGATTTGAATGCCTGATGGAAGGCAAAGGCATCAGTGACTAATGCATTATAGATATTCCATTAAAAATGCTATCTGTGTGAAAATTACTCTTGTAATGTCACCCAAATCAGTAGCATATATTAGGACTTGTTATGTAAATGCCAGTTTCTAATCTTATAGCTGCCTAGGGGCTACTTACACATGCATATCCAGGTTTTCCAAACACTTAAAAGAAAATATACATAACTCATTTCATCCCCCACCCCCCTCCACTTTCAAATATATAAACTATAAAATTTCTCAAGGGATAAAGACTATTCCAGCAGAAATAACTCTATTATCATCTGATTAAAACAAGAGGTTCCAACAGGTCTCTAAAGAGGTACAGCCCCTACATTCCACCTCTAAGAATCCAGACCAGGTTATAATAGAGGGCACATCTACCTAAACAAAATAAATTTAGAGCTCTCACACACTCAAGACAGCACTCAAATCCCCAAAATATGAGAAGAGCAACACCTACAATTCAGGACATCATTTGTTACATGCAGACAATACATGTAGTGGAGACATGTTCTTCCCTTAAGTACTTCATTATCTGGATTCTGACATAAAGACTTCACCATTCTTAACACTGATACGTACTTTTAATAGCAATTCTCCTTGACTCCTGATTACACCCCTTTTCAACAGTTTTAGTGCATCTGCAAAACATTCCCCAGATTTGTGCTTCAAATGGTAATTGTTCTCTCTGCAACACTATGTTATACTTGCAAAGGCTGGAAAAATAGATAAGCAATTTGTTGTGTTGTCCTCTCAAGCTTGGCTGAGCAATGTTATTGCAGAAAACAAGGCTGCAGGTAGCAGATCTTCAGGTTTCAGTTCTTGCCCTAAAAGACACAGAATGTGAGTGGCTACACTCACATAGTGGAGACTGGAGAGCTCAGGGAGTGACTATATGTTTCAAGGAACAATAGCAATTTTTCCTTTGCCTCTTCCTGGAACCTGAAGAATGTCTGCAGATCAAAATGAAAGTGAGTGAACAATAGAGATGAAATCTGGACCTGCAATTTAGCCAGTTTCCATAGCAATAACATTGAAAAAAATAAATAAATAGATACTATGAGGATTAGCAACCCAAAAATGATATTGAATAGCCTGTGCTGTCATCCAGACTAGGAAATTAAAACTAATCTGTTTGTGATGAGCAGACATAGCATATGACATTTCTTGATCATTTCGATGAGCATCACAATTATGCTTGTTCTCCTGTGGACGGTTCTCAGTGGGGATTGTGAAATGCCATTGGATCTCAGAGAAAAAGTGGTGCCAATCTTTTTCAAATCTAGTGTATGAGTCCTTTCTCTGGAGATTTCTTCAAGAAGAAAAGGATTAGGGCTGTTCCTCTTTTTCATAAATAAAAACTGAAATTAGCTTAGAGACTTCTAGTCACCCAAAGACAGGGACAGAGGAAGTAACATTACAGTCCGTGAAGACAAATGCATGGCCTAGGAGAACTGCTTGACCAGCAGATCAGGAGTCAGGCAGAGATGCTCCCACTCTGGAGCCTTTCAGAGAGCACAAGCTGGTGAAAGTCCCCCTAAACAGATTCAGTGGATTTTGGCACAAGTCTATAGAAGAGCTATAAAACATTTTACCTTAACATTTTAATGCAGAAAAGGGACTTGAGCACTAGACCTAGTAGGGAAAAGTAGTGCTCCCTTGCACATTCCAGTCTTTCCACAAATCTGGAAAACATCTGAGCTGAGCCTCCTCCTGTAAGTGCACACAGCATGGGAAGGGTCCCTGAAAACTCACCTAGCATGAGCAGCCTAGTCAGGACTAAGTCAGATCAGCCTGTTCCCACCACCCTGACAGCACAGACACTATTTTAATCTGAAATACCCAACATTGTTTCAGAGCTGGTTACTCTATCAGTCTCCCACATAGTAACAAACAATAGCCCTGCTATCAATCTTCCTTTTAGACATTCAGTGCATGGCTGCCCTTGGCTGACTGTAGGATAAAATGCTGTAACTATTATCAAATAATAGATTGCTCTAAAGCAGGATGAAGGGAATGAGGTCTTTCAGACCTTGCACTAACTAGACAAGGTACAAGTATTATTACCTCTCTTTAAACTGATCTGCTTTCACTCTCTTCCTTTAGATAGGCGTATTTTTAGTATTCTCTATTTGCTCTGTATTATGATCTCAATAATCTATTTTTTTCCTTGAATTTAGGACAGTATTAATGTTGGTGTCATTTCAGTTCCCAGTACTGAAAAAGTACCAGATAATTTTGATACAATGCATATTCTTTTTTTTCCCAGTCAGTAAGGGAATAACCTGCAGAAAGAAATCAACAGGAGGAAGAGACCCAGATGTCATACGTTTATTAAAGAATCGTATGGTAAAGCAACTTGTTACATTTTTTTTATTCCAAATTCATGTCCAAAGCATTATGGAGATACTCAGAACACAGTTTTAAGAGGACTGAGACCATTGCAAAATGTAAGGTATGAGGTGAAAGGAACTTGAACAGAAGCATTCCCCTTTCTGTATTATTATTACCATGGAAAACCAGGCACTCTGCCATCTGTTATGAAGCCCTGTGGAACCTTAATTCCAGAAAATTTTATTCTGATTGCATAATATCAATTATTAAGATTAAAAATGTGGAAAAGACTAAAATAAATAAACTGAAAATAAAATATTTGAACTCTTTTGGAAAGTCCCCAACCTTAGAATGTATTAATGAAGCATGGAGTCTGTCATCTAAAACCATCTGGAATCCATGAGAACTTCTCAGCTGATTAAAACAACTTTGGGTCTGGCCTCAGTGATAGTATATGAAACACATAAGGCACAGGTGCCAATGCATATATTTATTAAATCACAATCATAAAATTGTATTTAATATCTGGAATCATGGACAGATTACAGTACAGCTTGGCTCTGGTAAGCACCCAATCCAACACTTTTCATTCAACTGGTGTGCAGTATGCTGTCAGTTTAGTTCTGACTCTGCTTCCCTGAAGCTACAATCAAGTCCTCCCTTATATGTTGCTGATGCTGCAGAACGTGTGTTCTGCATGACTTCTTTTCTCCTCCCTTCCCAGGTCAAGAGCAACCAGGACTGAAAATCCATGCTTTTGAAAGAGGCTACTCACAGAAATAACAGCAAACCTCGCTTTCCCAAGGGGCCTCTTGCAGGGTAGAAATCTCTTTGCAGCATTGCAAATCACACCTTCAAGCAGAACTGCAGGAAAGAAAACACCATATTCTGGCATGTCCTGTCACCAAGGGCTGTTGTACTTTCCGGACCAGAAGAAAACTGCACTGACAGTGTGTTTCACAGACTGAGTCCC